CCTTCCATCCTTCCTTTCTTCTAGTCATCCATCCATTCATCCATCCATCCACCTTCCATCCTTCCTTTCTTCTAGTCATCCATCCATCTACCATTCATTCATTTACTAACTGACTGAACAACCTGGGGTAGTAATTATCATGAGTGTGTGGCTAGACCTACATTTTCCCTGACACTGTAGGGAGCTCCAGGTCCTCTAACCATACTATTGCCAAGACTTTTCCCTGGGTAGCATGTGCAGTTGTATCCTGATGACATGCGTAAATGACATTCCTGGCCCTTGGAACTGACCGACTGCCAGGATCTGATTTCCTAGGACCGACTGGCTCTTGTGTTGTCTCTGGGCTTCTGGGACTCACTCTCCTTGACCTCAGAGGTCATCTATGCCAAAGATGGGGAACCCTGGGCCCAGAGGCTGAGGGTGATTCTCAGGATTGAATGAACCTTGTCCCTCTCAGAGCAGAGAAGAAGGAGGACCTAGACAGGGTGTTTACCAGGGGAAAAGCAAAGAAAGGGAGTTTAGGTTCTCAGAATGGTGGATCAGAATGTGGCTGGAAGCTGACTAGCTCTCTGAAAGGGAAAGGAGGCTTTGGGGGGCACAGTTGGTGGGAAAGGGTGGGAACTCTGAACCCAGCAGTGGGGTCCAGATGCTGTGGAATCATGGTCCACAGGCCTACGTGTCAGGAGCTCTGTGATCAGGTCATGTATGTCAACCCAGTCTGAGGCTTGGGGGCCCTGAGAAAGCTGTGATAGCCTACAGGAGGTTAGAGACCACTGGCTGGGTGGCATCAGGACATCTGTAGGTATTGAATATTGTTCCAACAGTACTATAGATTTTTGAAGTTTATAACATGTTTGATTTTTAATATTGACCCCAACGTGACAATGTTGTAAAATATAAACACTCAGCCTCCTGAATTTGAGTGATCCTCCTGCCTCAGTCTTCCAAGTAGCTGGGACTACAGGTACCTGCTGAGACACCTGGCTAGTCTTTCTATTTTTGGTAGAGACAGGGTCTTGCTCTTGCTCAGTCTGGTCTCCAAACATGTCCTGCCTGTCTGAGGCCTCTCTAAGCTTCCTCCCATTGCCCAGTGGCAAGAAGATGGTGATCCTCTCACAGGCAGTGGCTTTGCCCGGGCACCACTCAGGTCCCCTCCTCTGGCAGGCAGAGGTCACCAGAGACAACAGAGAGGGGATACTGGCAATGTCCACCTGGGACTCCAAACAAGTCCTGAAAGTCTGAGTCAGTCCAGGTGCCTCAGAAATGCACATCCCCTCACCACCCCCCCCCCAAGGAAGGGGGCCCCTGGTCTCGCAGCACAGATCACAGGTCAGCAGGAGTGGCCATGTGCTGACCCAGTCCTGCCACACTGAGCATAGATGGGCCCCATCTACCCTCTGCTCTGAGCGGACCTGGAGACCAGACTTCCCCCACCTTCACCATCCATTTATGCATCCACCATCCACCCACCATCCATCCATCATCCATCCTTCCACCGTCCACCCATATTTTGCAGGATGGGGTGATCACATTGTTCTTTTGACCCCATGAGTGAATGTGGTTGGTTTTGTGTGCCTGGTGAGGCTCACTCTGAGGAAGGCTGATCCACAAGGGAAGACATCGGAGGGGAAGCGGCACCCCAGAATGAAGCTGAGAGGGGCATGTGGAGGCTCCTCAGGCTTCCCACACACACATCCAGCCCCCACCCAGGCCTTTGTTGCACCAGTCTGGAATGTGGCCCCTGAGCTCCCAGATTGCTGGACCATGCCAGGCTCCAGCTCCTGCCAGGGCAACATGGCCACATCTGCCCTTTTGTCCAGCCCTCCTGACTCCAGGCAAAGCATCAGCACCCCCCACCCCATCACTCTACCAGATACATGACTGACCAGCCCCACTGGAGTTCCTTACTGCCCATGTGCTCTTGTGTGGAAGGGTGGGCGTCCCTGACTGCCCTTACACACTCTCAAGCCCGATTATCTGATTCCTTTACTGCAAATTCTGTGAGGAAGAGGATCATCTCATTAGATTTTATTTCTGCTTAAATTAGCTAGATTTGTGCACACTGCGGAATGTTGTTCAGCTGTGAAAAGGAATGACACCCAACGCTTGCCCTGATGCAGACGGAACTTGCAAACATCATGTGGATGAAAGGAGCCAGGCACAGACGGACATACTGAGCGATTTCATGCTCATGAAATGTCCAGAAGACACAGATCCGTAGAGACGGGGGATTTGTGGCTGCCAGGACTGGGGAAAGGGGACGGGGAGCGACCATTCACAGGAATGGGCTTCAGTTTGCAGTGACAAATGTTCCGGAGCTGGGCAGGGGGGTGGTCACACAACATTGTGAGTGCCCTAAATGCTGCTGAAGTGTCCACTCTAAACGGGTGACTTTGTGTTGTGTGGATTTTCCCTCAATAAGTTACTAGGAAAAGAATTCATCTGGTGGATTCCAGAGGTGCAAGAGTGAATGCAGCATTCACCGAGGAAACAAAGGAGACTTTTCCAGAAGGGGAAGAGCCCAGTGATCAGGTTGTGTGCAGTGGAGGGCTCTGTGGCTGAGGCTGGCAGATCAGGTCACTGTGCCACTCACCCTGAGACCCACCAGAGGCACCATTTGGGAGGGAGGATGCATCCCGAGCTGGGATGCGGGAGGGTAAAGGTGGGGAGAGGGCAGTACAGGGTGCTGGGAGAGCTGTGCCTCTCGGAAGGAATAGGGGAGGTCACGTGGGGTTTCTGAACCTTCCCTGGAGGGAAGGTGCAGGGATCAGTGTCCTAAGAGGCCAAAGTGGGCCTGGATATCCTCCCACCTGTCAGTTGGGACCCCTGAGTCTGCCTCTAGGAGAAATGAGGTCAAGGCTGGGGAGCCCCTGCAGGGCCAGCCCCTCAGCTTTTGGCCTTTCTGACTGTTGAGCTGGATCCCAGGGGCTCATGCTCTCCCCTCCTCCCACTGCACCTGCCACCCAGAACTGCAGCTCTGCGGGCCACAGACCTGCACAGAGAACCAAGGGCCTCTCGGGCAGAGCTGCCCTCTACCTGGGCTTGAGCCTCCTACCACAGAGAACCAGGACAAGGTTGAGTCTCCCAGTGCTCCCCATCCCATCCCCACTCCCAGTAGACCCTTGAGGGAGTGTCTTGGGCCGCCCACCCAAGGAGCCCCACAGACAGGCAGAGTCATGGGGGCTGCTGAAGCTCTTTATGCAGAACCAGGAGAGGGGTGTGTGGGGTCAGCAGGGTGGCAGGAGGGTGCAGCTGGCTAGGCCCTGGGGGCTCTTCCAGTGACCCTATGCAGGACAGAGGAGCTGGATGGTGCTGCTGGGCACTGGGGAGCTGAGATGCTTCCTGCTCTGGAAAGGAAGATGCACCCTGCTCAGTGAGTATGGAACAGGGACATGGGGGCTGCAGGGTGGGCGTATGCCTGGCTCTCAGGGGGTATGGTGTGGGGGAACAGATGTCTGGTTTTGGGGGTCTGTAGAGCTGGCCTGAGTGGAAGAGTCCCTACAAGCAAAGTTCTGTCTGCCTGGAGAGCGTGTAGCTGAGAAAATGGGGCCAGCACAGGACCTGGTGAGGTGCCTGGCTCTGCTCATAGCAGGTCCGAGTTGCCTGGGAGGTGGCACACACAGGGGAAGCCTGAGGAGGGGCTGAAAGGGACATGCCAGATGGACCTGTGGTGGCCTGGTGGCTTCTACCAGGGCCTAGGGGATGGGGGGCCAGCCCCTGCCCGCTAACCTCCCGTTACACAAATTGTGAACCCAGGTGTCAGCTAGAGAAAAGAAATGAGTCCCTCCGTGTCCTGGGAATGACACCGGGACATCCAGGTTCTCAGAGCAGAGAAGGCAGCGTCCCTCCTGTCTCTAATTCGGGGTGCTGGAGGGGCACCGTGATGCCCAGAGAACGCCAGGACTCTTGTTGCTTTGGGTGTCACTTACCCTAGTCTCGAGCAGGGACGCAGCTTTCTGCAGTGACCAAGAAAGACCCAGGGTGAGGAGATGCCCTGGACAAGGGCTCAGACCCACCAGTCACCAAGACCCAAAGCAGGGGTTCTTGGGGGGATGAGGGGACTTGGGGGGAGGGAGTCATAGGGGACCTGGAATACCAGGAAGTAGCTGGGCACATGGGAGGACCTGCAGGTTGCGGAGAGACTAGGGGTACGTGAGGACTTAGGTGGAGCTGTTCTCTCACCTGTCTGCTCCGGGATGAAGATGTCTTTCTCCTGCAATCCCTTGTGCCAAATAAATTCCTTAAATTCCTTTAGGGCCTCTGGGCTCTCTTCTAAATTCCGACCTGCAGGAGAGGTGGCCAGGTGAGCCTAGTGGGGACCATGTGCCATGAAGAGACGGCCACTGCCCAGCGACAGGACCTGGGGAAGGGGGACAGTGCGGGGGACTCCCCAAAACACTGAGTGACCCCAGGGAATCCTGGCGGCCCTAGAAGCCACCCTGTAGGGTCACACCCTACCCTAGAAGGACCTTGTGTACTGGAGGCAGTGGGCTGCCCCTGCTTCAGGTCCCTACCCCAGGAAGGCCTCTGTCAGGACACTAACCCTGCCTTAATGTCACCTTAAAACACCCAAGGCCCCAAGAAGAGGCCCTTGGCAGGTTTGTGTCACCAAAGTCCAGGACAGCTCCTATCTTAGACAGCCCTGCCCGGCCCACCCTGCTCCCATGGCAGAGCTGGAGAGGTAGCATATGGTGGCCAGGAAGGGCAGGCCGCAAGGCTCCCCTTCTGCTCATGGACTCAAGTGCTGCTTTGTGAAGAGATGCTGGACCTGTCCCCAGACAGGGCTGATGCTAGATCGAGCAGACCCAGAGCAGAGTCATGGGCCAGGGTGCAGCCCTGGAGACAGAGGGACACTTACTCACGAGCTTGGCTACTCTGAATTTTTCCTCCTGGAACTCTCCTTCACAGTAAAACAGGCGGTGGTCCTCTACAGATGAGAGCTCAACATGCAGGTGGCTCAGGCCCCCAACTGCGCAGGCCAGGGAGAAAGGTCGCATTGTCACCCTAACCTTGGGGTGCAGGCTCCTTCCTGCTGTGTCTCCCGGGGTCCAACACCTGTTTCCAGGTGCACCAGCCTAGCCTGAGCCCTGGGCATTGGGGCCCCCACATCCTGCACCCCAAGTATTGTGACAACCCCTCCTGGGCACAGGGTGCCTGAGTGGAAGGTGCCCAAGGGAGGGGCTTGCTCTCCACAAGCCATCCAGGACTCACAGCTGGTGTATTCTCCTGGCACACTGGTTTTCTCCAGGAGAATTTCTACTTCATGGCACTGACCATCATGCCTGGAAAACAAAGGCAGGAGGGCAGGGCTGTGCCTGACGTCCATTTTTGCTTTGGGGGATGCCCCAGGCCCTCTCCCACCGCACTCCCAACTTCAGAGCAACATGAGAGATCCCAACTCTGATGGGCTCCCACCTCCCAGCTGAGCTCTCTGTCCCCTGGGGCCCCTTCCTCTCCAGAGTTAGGGAAACTTAGTGATACCTCACACCAATGGGACAGTGGGAGGACTCAGTTCTGCAGCCCCGCCCACCCCGACTGGTCTGGCCAAGGTGGGAGTTGTGGCTGGAGCTGGTGACACTCACATCCGTGTGAAGGAGACCTGCAGGTCCCTGTTGCTCAGCACCGAGCACGTCATGGGGGGCGTAATCCTCACTGGGGTCCCCTTGTCTGAGACAATGGCCTTAATGTACCACTTCCCTGAAATCTGGAAAACGTGTCTCCTTTGCGGGTGCTGCTGCCTTCTCCCCACCTCCTCTGCTGTGCACGCGTCCCCAAACTCCTGCCCACTACATGTCAACCCTGCAACCCCTGCACAGTCTCACCCCTTCCTTGCCCTGCCCCTCCCACCCTCCTGTCTCCTCCCCCTGCACATCTACTCCTGCATCACGGGGACCTGCTCCCTCTGAGAACACCAGGGCCCTTTTTCCAGCACATGCCTACACCCTGTGCCCTTGGGGCAGATGACATAGGCAGGAGGTCTATGGGAGGGGCAGTCAGAGCCTTAAGTTGGATCTATCTCCTGAGTGCAGAAGCCTGGGCTCCTGGGGGGGTGCGCCTCTGCTCGTTGGTCTTGGCTTCTCCTATCCGTACTGCCCAACCCAGCCTCACATCCGGTTCCTCAGAGTCCAAGGCCATAGGGTCCTGGGCCTGCAGGGCAGCGATCAGGCCAAGGCCGAGAGTCAGGAGCAAGGTCTTCATCTCCAGGGTGTGCACACGGCTGCTGACAGGTCGCTTGCTGTGCTGGGTGAGGTTGTTTCCACTCTCTGGTGGCTGCCCTTTATACTGGGTGGCTCAGGGTCCCCAGGCAACTTGGCACAGACCACTATCCTGTCCCTTCCTACCATGACGTTGGCCAGCTGGCAGGGACTGCTGTTGTTTTGAATAACAGCTAATTAAGCCCTAAGGGACGAACAGGCACCCCCTCCTTCCCAGGTGCTGATTCCCACCTTGGCCTGAGTGGAGGAGGATGTGGACCAAATGGGGGGAGGGAACATCTCTACACTTGGAACCACGGGCCGCAGGGGAAGCTGTGAGGTCTGAGCCGGGGGTGATGGAGGAAGGGTTTAGAGTTTGCAGAGAGGAAGTTTTCAGTTCAGCCTGGCTGGGCCTGGGCCTGCTCAGCCTTGGGGGTCCCCGTGCCTGGGACATCCCCCAAGTCATCCTGCAAGGGCCTGTTTTGTAAGTCGGGCCCAGCTTAGGGAGTGCTCCCCAGGTACACTGTGGAAATGTCACCCTGCCCAACGTGTCACAGTCCCTCTTGCCTTTCTGCACAGTGTCTGTGAGTGCTGCCCATGGCTGATGAAACAAATGACCACCAACCAGGTCACCAGCCACAGGCTGGGCCTTGAAAATACAGAAATGTTTTATCTCTCAGGTAGGAAGGCCACATTCTGGTAGCCAGGGGTGGGCGGAGGATCCCCCTGGAGGCGCCTGGGGGACCCTTCCTGCTTCTTCCGGCACCTGGTGGCCCAGGCACCCTCAGCTTGTGGCACCATCTTCATGTAGCCTTTTCTTCCGTGTCCCAAACCTCCCTCTGCCTTTCCGCTGGAGATACACCTGTGGGTAGGATCTAGGGCCTGCCCTGAAACCTGGGTGCAGGTTCTAGACATCTTATTTTTAATTTTATTTAATCATAGCTGTGTATATTATTGCATTTATGGGGTACAATGTGCTGGGTTTTATATACAATTTGAAATACATTAACCTGGTTAACAAGAGCTCCTTAACTTAATTATGTCAGCAAAGAGCCTTCCCCAGATGAGCTCTCATTCCTGGCTCCCGGTGGGTGTTCCTCCGTTTAGCCCCCTGCAGCACGGCCCTCTCTCCAGAAGGGCCTATCGGTTGTTTGCGTGCCTGTTTGATGCCATCTTCGCCTGGTAGAATTTAAGCTGCCTGAGAGTAGGGACTTTGTCCCTGCAGCAAGGAGCCTGCCCTCTGACGGAGGCTTGGTCATTGCCCTGGTGACCCTGGCCTCCCTGTTGTTTCTGACGCTGTGCCCTCCAGAACCTTCCTGTTGTAGCCCTGTCCCCATTCCACGTGTGGGCGAGGTGACAGGCACGGATACCAGAGGTCAGACTCAGGGGTTGGGGCTGCCAGGGCACCCTGTTGACCTAAGCCCTGCTGCTCTCTGAGCCAGGGACTGGGGCTGTTCCTAGGCTTAGAGCATCTGTCCCGGCACCCAGGACTGACCCCAGCAGCAGCCAAGGGGCCGCAGGTGGATGCCAGGGCTTACAATGGTGTCTTTGTGCCTCTCAGCCCGAGGGTTTGCCTCCCCTGCAAACTCTCAACCCCAGCTGACGGAACCATAGGTGTCAGCTTGACCCAGTAATTATCAGGAGGGTGCTGTTGAAAAACACCTGCCCTCGCCAGGTGGAGATGGACGGGGCCAGCACCCTCCCTCTCAGGCCAGAGACCAGTGAGCAGGTCTAATTCTCCCAGGGTCGGAGGGAAAGACTCAGGTGCCCTGTCCACATTGACCTTGTCCCAGTGACAGGCAGGGTCCTGCTCACTTGGGGATCTCAGAGAAGAGATCTCTGGGCCCCTGGCCTTCCAGCTCCTAAGAGACTCCACTGCACTGCCCCACTCTCAGAATGAGTCTGGACACTCGGGGGCCCTGCTCAGCCGGCCAAGGCACTGCTGGGGAAGGAAGGCAGTAGCAGGTGTTGACAGGTCTCGAGGGTGACAAGGGGGTCAGCCATGCCAGGCTGATAAGAATAATTTTCTCCACATCTGTTTATAGAGGGGGGTGTGTTGGAAAGGGCTGGACACACACACAATGGAACAGGATGGAGAATTTAGGAACAGAGTCACACAGAAGAGGCCAATTTATTTTTTGACACAGGTACAAAAGCAATTCTACGGACAAAAGATAATCTTTTCAACCAGTGGTGTTGGAACAAGGACAATCGACAATCCTTGATGTAAGCTGTGTGTCTCTCTTATAGGAAATTAGCTCTAACATGACTGCAGGTCTCACCTAAGGTAACTCTGCAAACTGTTCAGAGGAAAACAAGGACAGATGGCCACCACTTGGGGTTAGGGAAAGAATCCTTAGGCACCAGAAGGATAATTCATTAAAGGGAGAGCAATGAATTGGGTTTCATCAGTATTAAAAATTTCTGCTCTCAGCTCCCTGAAAGACTCCTTCAATTTCATAAGCTCTGATATATCACAATCGCCAAGACATGGAAGCAACCCAAGTGCCCATCAACCCGTGAATGGATCAAAACTGTGGTCTATGTATACCATGGAATACTCTCCAGCTATAAAAAAAGATGGTGACTTTACATCTCCATTTACCTGGATGGAGTTGAAACATGTTCTTCTTTGTAAAGTATCACAAGAATGGAAACACTAGTATCCAATGTACTCAATACTAATACGAATTATTAAAAAAGCAACTACAAGAGAATACCACAAGCATATTCAACTGGGGGAGCGGGGAGAAGGGGGAGGGACAGGAGAGGAGGGAGGGGGCTGGCAGGCTCTCACCTGCTGGACACACTGTGAGACGTCCGGCACACCCCAGGCTCAGCTGCCTCAACTGCAACTTGAACTTTACCTTCAGAAACATAAACAATGTAACCTAATCATTTGTACCTTCATATTCATCTGAATTAAAAAAATAAAAAATAATAAAAATTTCTCTTCTGCAAAAGACATTGTTAAGAGAATTTTTTTGAAAGCCACATACTTAATGGAAAATATCTTTGCAAATTGTATAACCCAAAGAAAGAACATATAAGGAAATTTCAAACTTCAAGATTAAGGAAGCAAATAATTCAGTGGAAGTAAACAAAATTCTTAAACAGACACTTTGCCAAAGAAGATAGGAGGATGGCGTGGGAGCTGGTGCACAGCACCCCCAGCCATCAGAGAAGTGCATGTCAGAACTGTCGGGGACACCCTAGCCCATCTAACAGAGTGGTAAGACATTTTTCTAAAAGAACCTTCACAGTATCAAATGCTAGTGAGGGCCCAGAGCAATAGGGGCTTGTAGACTGCTGACAAGAGTGTAAAATGGTGCCATGATTTTGGAAAACGGTTTGGCAATTTCTTATAAATTTGGAGAGAAATATACCAGCAGTTTCTCTCAGAGGAATTTATGCAAAAGAAGTGAAAATATAGGAGGACACTAAAACTTGAACATAAATGCCCATAAAACTCCGTTCATAATTGCTAAAATCTGGAAACATCAAACGCCTTGGTCACCGGCAGGTCGAGTTGTCTTTCCAGGCAATGGAGCTTTCTCAGCAACAAAAAGGGACAAACTATTGATTCATTTGACAGCGTGGCTCACCCTCAAAGGCATCCCGCGGAATGAACAAAGCCAGTCTAAAAAGTCTACCTGCCTTGCGATTCCGTTTTTTGTGACATTCTAGAAAAGACACCACTCCAGAACTGGAGGGGGTGGGAGTCCCCAGGGCGCGGGCCTGGGGCAGGTCTGACTGTGGAGGGGCCGGACGAAGC